CTGGAGAGAGCTTTGTGTCAACAGTGACTTAATTCAAGGTCTTGGATGTGTTAAAGCACAAACTCTTTCACTGAGCTGTGAATTGGGGCCACTCTCCATTTTTAAAAATAACTCTTAAGTCTTCATTAAAATGAAGTTCCATGAATTTTCCTTTGTGTTCCTTCTAAGACATTTCCTGAAAAAGTTGAGGTTTCTATTGGTTCGAAACATATTACATTATATTTCAAGTGAAGGTTTAGATCTATTGATCAAATTCAAGATGAATTGTTTGTGTTGGTTTTTGTCAATATCTGTCTATGGATGCATACCTGTTTCTCCATCTAGCAGCTCACAGTTTATCCTCCTCCAAGAGAAATATGTACCATGCAAAGAAGTTATTACCCCTTAGCCAGGGCCATGTAAGACAGAGAGAACAATCTTCTTCAGCTACAGATGTGACTAAAGATGCCTTAAAAATACATCACAGTCAAAGAAAAGAGAGCCATTCATAGGTGGAAACAATGGACATGACAGAATTGATAGAGTCATTTGATAACTGAAAATTAGGACCAAAATGAAGATTCCTCTAGCCAGGAATTATTTGTCATAATACATTGAAATAACAAGCAAACCTTGATGAAAATAGGATCTGGAGAGATTTTACAATGCAATGTGGCAGAAAAAATGTCAAGACTATACTGATGAACTCTTCAGAGTAGTACCACAAGGCAGCTTGGTGTTTTATTTGATTGTGTCAGAAAGAAATCTGTGTATAGCCAGAACAACTTCATAATAGAAAACAAAACAAATAAGCAAAAACAACAACAAAAACACTTATCTGTTTACTCCGAATTTGCAGGTGAGCAAGCAAAGATTCTGAAAAGATAAGAATGCATGCATTAGTCTGTGGTCTGTAAGGAGTTTGAGCTCAAGGTATCACTGCTCCAGGGTGTGATGTGGATGCATATTTATAGAGGAAGGAGGATGAGGAAGCTCTCAGTGGTACTAGAATAAGAGCAATGAGTTTCTCACAAAACATCCATGGTATGAACAAAAGTGAATTTCTGGGGATGACTGTAGGTGCTCAGGGTGTGGTAGTGGTCACATGTGTGAATACCATACCAGAAACTTCTGGAGGGAGAAACTAGAGCATCTTAGTTATTGGTCTAGTTTAGCTCTGAGCTAGCTTGGAGATTTTACTTCTTTGGTCTTGTTTCTGTCTTCAGAAAAAATGAGGATTCAATTAGGTTACAAGTTACCCTCCCTGCTTTTTGTTTCTGGGACAAATAATTTTTTTTTCTTCTTTTAGACAAGGTCTCACTATTTAGCACTAGCTGGCCTGGATCAGATATGTAGAACAGGTTGTCCTTGAACTCAGAGATTCCCCTGTTTCTGCCTCCAAGCTTTGAGATTAAGTGTATCCACCATGAAGCCCAGCCAAATAAATATTCTTTTTCTCTTTAAAGAAAATCTGTCACTTCATATATTTAAAACAAAGCTTAAAAAAGATAACACAATCTTTCAGCAGCTATCAATTCAATTTTATGAAGAGGTATATTTAAAAGCAAGTAATAAAATAAAAGCAGAGAATGGTCTCAGAATTGTATGTGTGTGTGTGTGTGTGTGTGTGTGTGTGTGCGCGCGTGCGCACGTGCGCACGCGCTTGCATGTGCGTTTATGGTGTGTGTATGAACTTACATCAAAAGTAGTCATATTCGCTTATTTATTTTTCTTATTTTAATGTAGTCTGCTAAAAACTTCATCATAGAGTATACATGAAACCACAGACCAACTGACAATTAATGCTCTTTCCCTTTGGGACATTCTAAGAACTCTCATATTTTGGGTAATTCACCTATTATACTTTTCCTAGATCTTTGAATTATGCTAATTACCAGTATGCCACTTCATCTAGACATGAAATGCACAGAATTTGGGGGGAATCTGGTATGAGAACAATTTTTTCCCTTGGGAGTACAGATTAATTTGACATACAAATATCATATTTGAAGCCTCGAGGATTGTCTTTTAGCCACGCCCTTAACTAGAATTTTGTTCATGACATTGAGCCCTTTCTGAAAGTCACTTGGTGAAAGATACCACAGTGCTTTAAGTTTCAGCTTCTATCAAAAGCGTTTACTGACAGTTTAATATGTTATCAGCATACTGCTGTGAAGGGAGTAGTAGAACATAGTTTTAACTAAAATAATCTCTAAAGCTATCTAATTCAAAGTAACAACAATAAACTGAGGTGCATCAAATGGGTATGAGTCCATCAATAATTCAGAGCAGACACATAAGCATTATGGTTTTTCTCACTGTAGTGGACCTCCAAGAGCTAATCTGCAAATATCAAAAGTCTGAGGGGGTATTTTTTTTAATTAAGAATTTTTTTAAAATTCATTTTACATACCAATCTAAGATCCCTCACCTCCTTCCTCCAGTCCCTCCAGCCTTCCCCTCCCAAGCCACACCCCCATTCCCTCCTACAAGAAGGTAAGGCCTCCCATGGGGAGGCACATTTTGTAGAGGCAGGTCCAAGCCCTTCCCCCTTGCACCAGGTGTCCCATTATAGGTAGTGGGTTCAAAAAAGCCAGCTCATGCACCAGGGATGGATTATGATGCCACTACCAGGGGGCCCCTTAAGCAGATCAAGCTACACAACTGTCTTGCCATGCAGAGGGCCTGGTCCAGTCCCATGCAGGCTCCACAGCTGTTGATCTAAATTTCCTGAGTTCCTAATAGTTTGGTTCGCTGAGGTGGTATTTTTTATGCTAAGTCTTCAGCTACAAAGTATATAACTTAGGTCAAACAGTTTCTGCTATAAAGTTCAAGGATGACAACATAAATCAAAGGATCAGCCATTCAGAGATGGTATTTTTTCCTTACACATGTGAGATTTCATGTCAACTTGACGTTATCCAAATGTTAAGACAGCCTCTAGAATTTTAGTTCTCAATTATACAAAAGTAAGCATAAATGGAAATTAAACCCCTAACAGAAAACAGAAAACCAGTAATAATGAGACATGGCACTCCATTCCAAATGAAAGGAAATCACGTCTTTTCGTGGCTGGATCACACTAATTATCAAAGATTTGGCACAAGTCTACCTCCTCTAGTTGAATGCAATTAGCGAATTGACATTTCTGAAAATTGCGATGATTATGATTGCGGGGTACCCTCATGCATCCTCCTACAAGGTGGCTGTTTTGTAGTTTACTTCTCAGTGTTGAAAACACTTCAGTCTTACATTTCCATGGGAACCATGTCTGTAATGAGTTCTATGTTTACAGAGCATACGATGTTAGCTGAGTACTGCATTTGATACTGAACATTATTAAGACACTGGTCATGGATATGAACACTATTTCCTCCCCTTGTCATTGGAGTGGTGGTCTGTGGACAAGACCAACAAAAATAACAGCAAAAAAAAAAAGACCTCAGAAATAAGTGATTTTAAATTGATGTCAATTTTCATGGAAGAAATCATGAGATTTAAAATTTGACTGCCATGTGGTATCTGAGTCCATGCTCATTAAAAACTCAGAACTGAAGTGCTATCTGCCCAACATAGTAGTTATTATATTTTGTTGTGATCTTAGTTTTAATTGAAAACTGCAGTGAGTTATATTTTTCATGAGTTTTATTTCCAAATCTGTTGCTCCAATTGTACATCCAGCCTCTAGACAATGAAACCAAGAATTGTCAAATGAGTCAGAGATCATTAGTACTTCAAATTGTATAATGAAGAAGAACTTGTTCCTATAAAAATATTAGAAATTTTGTTGTGGTATATTAAAATACAGAGATTGACATTCTATGTAAGAATAGAATTTCCAGGTTATTTTTTTGCAAATATGGTTTGTCTTTCTCTTTCTCTGTGTGTGTAGGCAGGGGAATGCATATGTGCATACCTGTTTATGTGAATTTGCATTGTATGTGTCTCAGTGTCCATGAATCCAAAAAAGACATTGGATTCACTGTAGCTGGAATTTACAGACTGTTGTGATCTCTTGATATAGGTGGTGGAAAGCAAACCTAGATCCCCTGCAAAAGTAGTCCACACTCTTAAACACTGAGCCATCTCTCTGGACTCAAATATCTAGTTTTTATTTTACATCCTATACTCCCTAAAATGGAAATAAAAAAATTTAACACAATTGGTTAAATGACTTGCAAAACATATTTTTGAAGATCAAGGACCACTTAGTTGTTAAGTGTCTATATTAATATATTGAAAATCTACATTCCAAAACAAAAGCTTTGAAAAATTAATTTCATAATACATATACCACCAAATTTACCCCAATTCATACTACTATACCATAGATCTGTTGGTTATAAAATGGCTATTAAAACTGATATCATCATGGCATTCCAATTAAAATGAAAAGAATTGCTCTCCCTAAAGCTTAGATACATTTTCATTGGACAAACAAGAACTTGGTTACAAGTTCAACTAGCTAAGTTTAAATGCAAATCTGTGTCAATGTTGGATGTATAAAAAGGAGAAGGAAGCTTGGCTGGAGCACTCTATTGATAAGGTATTTGTATGGGTAGTATAGGTTGACAATGTGCTCCTATCAAATATTTACAAAACATTTCTTAAGGTGCAACATGTAGTGGGTGATTTGAGCAACATCCTAAAAGAAACACAATTTTCCTTTATGCCAAAAACAATTCAATTATACAGGAAACATCTTCAGTTTCTGACTAAGGAAAAAAATTCATGACTTGGTTGGGAACCATTTTCAACCATAATCTATATAAGTCTTGGAGGAAAATGTGTTACAGACAGACTTATCACTGAAACTTTAATTTCCTTGTAAACATACACTTTGTAAGTTGGAAGCAGTTGTAATTCCAGCACTTAGTAGCCTGAGGCAGGAGGATTGTAAATGTAAGGGTAGCCTACACAGTGAAGTATTGTCTCAAAAAATTAAAAAAAAAAATCTTTTGTGATTCTGTCGTTGGGAATTTCTTCACTTAGACTATGTTTTCCTGTTTCTTTTATGCTAGGTTTGGATAAAGTGCCCAAGGACCTTCCTCCTGACACAACATTGCTAGACCTGCAAAACAACAAAATCACTGAGATCAAAGATGGGGACTTTAAGAGCCTGAAGAATCTGCACGTAAGAACTGTTTTATCTTTTCCTTGGCTATAAGATCAGGCTTGCGTCATCTTTCCCTAACAACCTACAGTAAGACCAAAACTAGATGAGGTAATAAAATAACCCACAGCTATGTGTTTTTCAGATTCTCTTCCTGGTGATGGTAAGTAAGCAGAAGATGCTAAGCAGCCGCTAAAATGGAAAAAATCACTACTGTTTCTACATATAATCCCTATCTTCAGTACTTACTTCAAAAATCTTTATACCTTTATCTCTGTCCATGTTTTCATGACTAAATATATGTCTTGCTTTAAATAGACTGCATTTCAGTCAGAATAAAACACAAAATACCTTGATGTTAGTGTTATTTTATGCTCTCATTCCTTTAGTTTTCTGTGATTCATTCTCTAAAGAGGCATGAATAACCTTTGAAATTTTCTTGGGACCACTAGAGTAAGGAAGAATCATCCACATGTTGTTTAGTAAATGTGTATCTACACATATATGTGTTTATTACATTCTACTTTAGATTGTTCATGTTTGTGTGTTTTCATTTACCTCTACTCTACTTTAATATCCAATATGATTGTCAAGAGTGTGTCAGAAAAGGGATGACACTTTCAAATGGGTTTCGTGAGAACATTTCACAGAAACCTTGTTCGTACAGCACCTGGGAATCAGTAAGGGTCTGTGAAGCATTCGAATCTGAAGAATATAGGAGGTGTGAGAACTATGGGGCGCAATACCAGAAAGCCTCACCTCTGACTTCTCACAATTGTCTATATTGCAGGATCTTCTTAGGGGATTGGAAAAGCACTAGGTTGAGGCAGAGGTCACCTTCTACAGTCACAGTGTAGTACCCAAAACAGCAAAGAATGAACATCATTATAGTGGAGAGTGTGTCATGACTAACTCAGTGTCAAGCTTCTTGAGGCCAAACTTTGTAAGGTCATCTACAGAGGCCACAGGAGTCACATCAGTTTTTCAGTCTGACTCCTGTGGGGTAAGTATGATTTTTCTCAAAATATCAGTGCACAGTTAATATATGTAAGCCAGACACCAATGTCTAAAGTATATTGCACTGTGAAAATCTCAATCCCCGTCCTCCATTGAAGAGCAGCTCTTAAAGTACTACGTATGATCCTTGACAAGCAAATCAAGATGGCCTTAACGAATAAGAGAGGGACAGTCATGGGTAGAAGGAATATGACTGTTGTGTCCTCAACACAATTGATAGAGATGTCTATGTCTACATTGAATAGAAGGTGACATAACGTATTTGAGAGGCCTCAATGAGAAAGAGGGATTACAATTACTTCTGTCAATAATGAGACAACAAAATTGTCCTAGTTGGAAGAAACTTAATGGAAGCACATTCTCCATCAACATTAAAATTGAATTTAAAGAGAATTCCCAGAAAATAGAGCTTTTAGTGATATGGCCCCAACTGTTCATATTTTATTTTAATAATGAATGTCATAGTAACATAATTCTGAGGCCTAGAACATTTAATTCACATGTATTTATTTGTCATACTCATTGCCAAACTGAGAAAATTTATAATAAAATAGGGAACATATGATAAAATACAAATATAATACGCACCATCCAACTGTTACATGTTAGAATAGGTGTTGTAGAGATAAAAACAATCATGAATGTAAAGTAGAATAAGCTGCTCTGAAGACATTATGGAGTTAATATGGTCAGGAAAAGATTTAGTAGTGAATTATTTGACAGCCAAGATGACTGTAGCCATAAATATTCATGAGACAGTATACTAGATTTGTGAAAGAACTCAAATATTTTTCTCAAACCATAAATTCAATATTGATGATGCTAACAACTAATGTGTAATTGAAAGAGTTAAAAATAAGATTCTAGGATGCAACGATATAAAAAAAAAACCCTCCGTCAAAGAGATAAAATAATATTACATGTGAAAATAAATTCAGTTTGTCAATATGTCCCAATGTAAACAACATATAAGTAGTGAGTGTTATCGCTTCTCGGCCTTTTGGCTAAGATCAAGTGTAGTAGTGATTATTAAAAGCCGGGCGGTGGACGCCTTTAATCCCAGCAATCGGGAGGCAGAGCCAGGCGGATCTCTGTGAGTTCGAGGCCAGCCTGGGCTACCAAGTGAGTTCCAGGAAAAGGTGCAAAGCTACACAGAGAAACCCTGTCTGGAAAAACCAAAAAAAAAAAAAAAAAAAAAGAGAGAGAGAGAAAATTCATGCCGGGCGGTGGTGGCACACGCCTTTAATACCAGCACTCGGACCTGAGCAGGAGCCAGGATCCCTGCAGCTCTTCTCTGCTAAGGTGAACTTGAGCACCAGTCCCAAGCTCACGGCTTCAATCTCGAGGATTTGCCACAGACTTGATGGCAAAACCAGCAGTATTTGTCTGTCCAAGTCATTGCTAAAAGAATTCCATTAAAGTGAAGATAAAGAGCGAGCATCATTCCAATGAACTGAAACACTTCAAAATATGAATTTTCTTTCTTAAATTTTATTCCAAATCTACTTTTTTTTTTTTAAAGGAAGCCCTTACAAAAGCTACAAAACTTCTTAGACATATAAGTACCATCTGGGTAATTTTGGAAAGTTCTTTATAGAGAGACATCCAGTTTCTGAAAGGCTGAAGGTTTCTGCTATCGGTCACAGAAGTTATTTCTTTCCAGAAGCTTCCTTCTGGAAAGTTGGCAACACAACCATCATCTTGGCAAACCTTTCTTTCTACTTCAAAGTGTCCATCGGAAGAAGAGAAGAGTTCTTCGGAGCCTGTGATCATGCAGTGGATGCCAGACGGCTCTTTTTCTCTCAGCCTTTTATTCTCGATGTCTTCCTTCCTTGTTATTACAAAAAGAGACCTTATAATTTTGGGTTGGGAAAATTGTACCGAATGACAAGGAAGGGAAGAAACAAAAGTTTAGTAAGGATTAAAATAGAAAAGGTTTAAGGGGAAAACAGAAGTCCTTTATTCTCCAGTAGTTATCTGCATTTACAACTCTGTGGGTTATCGTGTAAGTAGTTTTATAGACTATATATACGTATAGATGTATATGCATCCATAGCCTTTATATAATCATAGAGCCCCATTGATATGCTCCTTTGAAACTACAACTTAATAAACATAGTAAGGAATGGGTTTTAAAGTAAAAATAAAAAAATTATCAGCCATTGATAACAAATATCTGACTGGCACTTGCAAAGCTGCGGTTGTAGTTTTCAAATTTAGGAGGCTTTATTTTAATCCTCCTGGACGTTCACACTTTAATGCCCCTTCTCTATGGATAAGGACATAGGCAGAGAGAGGTTGGTTGCTTTTTCATAGTCACACAACACGACTTTGAGTCCAGAAGGTCAGGAGCACTGTGTGTGAGCATAAGCACTAGGTATTGCTTATAAATGTGTGAGGGACTCCAGTTAGATGCTCAGAACAGTACCTGGGACAGTGGAACCCTTACATGAACATCTTTTGAGAAAAATGCATACAATATTAAAAGTCGTATTTTAACATTCAACAGAGTGAAACAGATTTTTTTTTTGGTCTGTATTGCATACATGTAACAATGTCAAGATTTCGTTACTGTCCTCTACAGCTGGCATTTAAGGTTTTCTGTTTCATCTTAAATTAAGGTTCTGCAACCTCGAGTACCTGCAAATGCTGCAATTTGCCTTATTCTGTATTGTTCTAGCTCAAGCCTTCACTGATTTTTTTCTTTTAAAAAATAACTTTTATTTTAAAAATTATATATTTTGATTATGTTCTTTACCCTCCAACAACTCCTCCCAGATCCTCCCCATTTCCCTTCCACCCAACTTCATATTCTCTCTCTCAAAATTCAAACAAATGATCAAACAAAAAAGCAACGACAAAAAAATACACAAACAGAAACACAACAACAAAAGCAATATGGCAAAAAGTACCAAAATATAACAAAAGACAGGGAGTCCATTTTGTGGTGGCCAGCAACTCCTGGGCATGGGGTCTGGTCTGGAGTGTGATTGATATATCCAGTAACCCTCCAATGGACAAAACTGATTTCTTCTTTCCCAGCAGATCTCACCCACAAATAGTTTCTTAGTTAGGGGTGGGACTTTGTCTCCACTACTTTCTCTCAGTTCTGGAATTTTGTCTTGTTTGAAACTGTGCAGGTCTTGTGAGTACTGTCACTGTCTCTGTGAGTTCATATCTGAGAAAGTCCTGTTGTGTCTGGAATATGCTGTTTCCTTGGAGCCATCCAGCACCTCTGGCTCTTACAACCTTTCTTCTTCTTCCACTCAAATCCCTGAGTCTTGGGGGAGGGGTGTGGTTGATAAAGAAATCCCAATTAGGGCTTGGTGCTCTAAAATCTCTCACGCTCTGCACATTGTCCAGTAGTTGGTCTCTCTTGATTACCATCTACTGCAAAAAGCAATTTCTTTGATTAAAGTTGAGCAATGCTCTGGTCGATGGGTATAGCAATATGTCATTTGGAGTCATTTTATTGCTATTTTATTTTAGCAGGTTGATAATAGTAGATCATGGTGTTAGGTGTGGGTTCCATCTTATAGAGTGGGTCTCAAATACAGTTAAAAAGTGATTAGTTACTCTCATAAAATATATGTGACTATTGCACCAATATATCTTGTAGGTAAGTCCTTGTTGTAGGTCACAGCATTTGTAGCTAGTGATATTAATGATTACATTTATTCTCCAACAGCACGCATAAGACCTTTCAACACCATGAATGCTAATCAATAGGGGTGAAGTTTCTAATTGGGCACCAGTTCAATTTCCCCATGTCTGATGACATAAGTAAGTGGTGTCTTCAGGAACAGGGCCTTAGCACTGTGTAGGGTGACCTTTACAATATCCTTTGATGTTTTTTGTTCATTTGCTTTTTGGAGAAGGTGTCAGGGTGAACATCTATGAGACTGCTTTGGCTGAAGATTCAACAAGATGTAACCTATCCCTGACACAAAGAGTTTTACTTGGTAGAGTAAGACATCTTGTTGGGGCATTGTCTCCCCTATTGCATGGTGACTCCATTTAAATTTCATATGTATATATATTTTAGGAAGTTTCTACTGTAGTAGGTTTCCAGATGGCTGTTCAAAAAGCCTTTAATGTTGTTTGTCCTTACCCAAATTCCCTCCTTTACCCTTATCTCTCATGCCCCTCCCTAATTAAGCTTCTTAGTTAATTTCTACTTTCTCTCTTACAGTCTTATATTCTATTTTCCCTTACTTGGAAGATTCCCTTCTTGTCCCTTACTACCTGCCTAAAGGTTACTCTGTTTTTATTTGAATTGAAACACACATATCTAAAGCATAAAACTAGCATCCATATCTACGAGCAAACAAGCAATACATATCTTTTGGAGTCTGTGTTACCCCAGACAGGATGATTGTTTTTACACCCTCATCATTAATTTATCTGCAAACAGTTTAATTCTTCTTAAGAGTTGATTAATATTCCATTGGAAATATGTATCATATTTTCATTATCCATTCATTAGTTGATTGGCAGCTTGGCTTTTTTCAACTGATGGCTGGCTATTGTAGAGCAGCAGTGAACACAGATGAGCAAATATCTCTGAAGTGAGATGTAAAGTCCTTTGGGTATATAACTGGATCGTGTGGTGGATCTATTGTCAGATTTTTGAGGTACCATAACATCTTTTCCACAGTGGCTTTAGCAGTTTGTACTTTCAAAAACAAATAATAAATGTTTTCCCTTCCCTAAATCCTTCCTACTTGTCATTTGTTTTCATTCTGACTGGGGTAAGAAGAAATCTCAAGTTTAGTTTTCATTTTTCTGATACCTAAGAATGTTGGACATTTCTTCATGTGTTTGTGTGTTTCATCCCTTGAGAACTCTCAAAGTTCCTTGAAGAACCCTATTTTTTGTTCAATTGTGGCTTGAGACAAGGTTTCTCGGCATAGCCCTGGCTGTCCTGGAATTTGCTCTGTAGACCAGACTAGCCTCAAAATCAGAGATCTGCCTGCCTCTGCCTCCTAAGTGTGGGTACTAAAGGCGTACCAGGCTCCAAAACCCATTTTAATTGGATTGTTTGTTTTCTTTATGTTCAGGTTTTTTAGTTCATTGTATATTCTATTATGTCTATTAGACTATAATATTATTATATTAATGCTCTGTCTGTTTTATAATTGGTAAGGATTTTTCCCCACTTTGTAGTTTTCCACTTTGCTCACATGATAATTTCCTTTGCTGTACAGAAGGTATTTAGTCTCATCAGGTAGTATTTATTAATCATGGATCTTAATGCCTCAATGGGACCTATTGGGCCCTGTTGGGGTCCTGTGAAGATAGTCTTTTTGCCAATGATTTCAAGCCTATTCCCAATTCTTCTATCATGTTTAGGGTATCTGGTCTTATGTTGAGGTCATTGGCCCATTTGGAGTTGAGTTTTGTGCAAGGTTGTGGATGTGGATTTATTTTCATTCTTCTGCACGCAGACATTCAGTTGACTAGCACCATTTATTGAAGATGCTGTCTTTTCTCCCATGTCTAGTTTTGGCTTCTTTGTTAAAAAACCAGGTGTCTGTAGGGGTGTGGAATTATGTTTGGGTCTTCAAGTTTTTTCTATTAATGAATGTGTCTGTTTTTTTTTTTATGCCAACACCATGCTGTGTTTATTTAAATATCTCTGAAATGCAACTGGAAATCTTGGATGGCAATACCTCCAACAGTTCTTTCATTATTCAAGATTGTTTTGGCTATTGTCATTTGTTGTGTGTGTGTGTGTGTGTGTGTGTGTGTGTGTGTGTGTGTGTGTGTGTTTTCATATGAACTTTGAGACTGTTTTTCAATTTCAGTGTAAGAATGGTATTGGAATTTTGATAATGATTGCTTAGAATCTGAGGATTGCTTTGGGTAGAATGACCATTTTAATAGCATCAATTTTAATAATCCATGAGCACAAGAGATCTTTCAATATCTTCCTTTCCAATGTCCTATAGGTTTTTATTATATAAGTCTTTCATTTCCTTGGTTTGAGTTGGCCCAAAATATTTTTGAGTTATTGTGAAAGGTATTGTTTCAGTGATTTATTTCTCACTATGTTTGTCATCTGTATATACGGAGGCGCTTCATTTTTGTGTGCCCATTTTGTATTGTGCTACTTTGCTGAAAGTGTTTAGCTGCTGTAGAAGTCTCTTGATGGAGCCTGGATTGTCTTTTATGCATAAAACCTTGTCTGCAGATAAAGATAGTTCCCTTCTTATTTGTATCCCATTGATCTTCTTCAGTTGTCTTATGACTTTAGCTAAGACTTTAAGTTCTATGTTTAATATGTATGAAGAGAGTGGACATTCTTGTCCTATTCTTGATTTTAGAATGATTTGGGTTTCTATTCATTTATGAAGATGATTATGGGCTTACTGTAAATTGACTTCATTTCTTTGTATAAATTAATCTTTTATATTTTTTACATTTTAAGTTTGTCTAGCAAAAGCAGTTCAGATTTTTGTGAGCACATAATAAAAATATGTACTTAGCCATCTTTACATTATCTTTCTTAAGTTTTGTAATCAGACTTTTTTCTCAGTCAGAGTTTTGATAATTAACATTTGAAAGCACCAAACTCATGTCATTTTAATTAAAAACTTAAAATTAACATTTCAATTAGTTTAGATAAGCCTGCCAAGGATAATCTTGAGTACAGTTTCTTTTCTTTAAATAACACAAATTGGACATAGTTTATTCTTTTCTTTTTTTGAGGTGGGGGAGGTCACCAGGCTGTAGGTGCAAACTTGGGAGGACTGGGAAGTGAGTGTGATTATGGTGCATGATGTGAAATTCCCAAATAATCAATAATCAATAAAAAATATTATGTTGGGAAAGATTATCTGAATCCTTGGATTTTAGGTTTAAAAACAAAAGACATAGAAATGATTGCTTTTATATAGTCCAAAATGACCCCAAACACATTTATACAGACATCCATGTATATTTTAAAAGTATGCCAGTCATGGTTATTGGTGCACATTGGTGTACAATGAAATTAAAACTGAAAATCAAAAACTTAAATGGCCAGGTTTTCTCTTCAGGAGCACCATAGATAGAGACTGTTTTTTTTTTTTTTTTTTTTTTTTTTTTTTTTTTTTTTTTTTTTTCATCATTACTGTCTTAGAAATCACCTTGAATTTATAAAACACTATCCACTTTCAACTCTTGATAGGGGTTACCACATTAGTAAAGTCTCAATATTTCCACCATTACATAAATCATTACTGACCACAGCACCATTGTCTCTTTTCGAAATGGCTCCACAGAACTCCAATAGCTCAAAAGAGCCCAACCCTTTTCTGTCCCAGGGCAGATGCCCCAAATAGCTCAACAGTACTCCAAACTTGCTTGCCACGGCTTCCAAATTGACAAAGCCTGTCTTGCAAGTGGCATCACTGTTAGATTATGAACTTACTCTTCTATGACACTTGTCACTAAAGTCAAGCCAAGCTTCCTCCTAGATCTGACAGGCCCCTTTGACACAGGGCACAGCAAGAATAAAGAAAACCCAAGACAGAAGATACATAAGCACAACTCACTGAAGCCTTCTACTGTAGGGGTGACAGCAGTCTCCTCTACCTAGAGTCACCTACTACAGCTACATTCAGCTTCTCAGTTCTGGTGACAGTATAACCTAAGGCCACTTCATGACAGGCTGAAAAGCTGATGCTGGGATGAGATCTGTGGCATTGATGGTTTCTAGGAATCTGATGTTATTCAGTGATTTCTTTAGCATCATTTATTTTAAAAAATGTTATAAGTATGTGTACATACAAACATGCACATGAGAAGAGGGTGTTTCCACAATTCTCCTAATTTCTTGTGATTTTCTGAATTTTTGTGCTAGCTTCATGAAAAGAATGAATTGACTCCATAGATATTTTATGCATATGTGTGGACGATTTTGCATTTCAGGTAATGTGTTATTCAATCTTTACAGACCTTGATTCTTGTCAACAACAAGATCAGCAAGATCAGCTCTGGGGCGTTCACACCTCTAGTGAAACTGGAAAGGCTTTATCTGTCTAAGAACCAACTGAAGGAACTGCCGGACAAAATGCCTAAAACCCTCCAGGAGCTTCGCGCCCACGAGAACGAGATCAGCAAAGTGCGGAAAACCGTGTTCAATGGACTGAACCAGATGATTGTCATAGGTACAGATCTGATTATAGCTTGAGGACCAGGCGCTAGGGTTCATGAATGGATTTCAAGTAAACCTTAGCTGTAAAAAGGGGATGGAGTCAGAGACTCGTGTGTCTGAGGGTTGTGTGAACAGCCGCCGCAGCTCGGGGAGAAATGGGACATTCTTCTTTGATGATCTGAGAACGTGAAGGGAAGACAGTATACTTGGTTATATGAGCAGGATGCAGGATGGACAGTGTTTAATCAGAGAGTTTTGGAGCAACCGTTCTATAGCGGAGAATTTTTGGGTACTGTTCACCTGTAGGTTATTTCCTTTCTAAAAATGTTTTATAAGGTTTTGGTGGGTGTATGATTATTAAATGTGATTTTACAATTGGCTTGCAAAATGATAGACTTAAATTCTTTAGCAACATTTAGGAAATTTATAACATAAAGTATGATTTATTAACACCAACTCAGCATTTCTGGGGAAATTATAAATAGTGCCATTGCTATTCTTTTTCCTAAATACTTATATTGTTTGTTTGTTTGATTGATTGATTGATTGATTGATTCATTCATTCATTCATTCATTCATTCATTCATACAGGGATCTATTGTATAACCCAATCTGTTCTTGAATAGGAAGTGATCTTCCTGCCCGAGGCCCATGAGTGTTGGGGCCCATGCCATCACACCAGTCTTTGTTTTAGTAGGACAAAGTTTCATTTCATTTTGATGTATCTCTAAAGAAAATAGTCTTTCCTTCTATTTTTTTTTAAATTTGTTTCTCAGTCAAGAAGTTGTTTAAAAGCTAATATTATTTTCCTAGAATCTTCACTGAAGCAGACACAGATATCCTGAAATATCCTCTAAGAGCCTCACACATTTTGTCTTCGTAGAACTGGGCACCAACCCACTGAAAAGCTCTGGAATTGAAAGTGGAGCCTTCCAGGGAATGAAGAGGCTCTCGTACATCCGCATCGCAGACACCAACATCACTGCTATTCCTCAAGGTGATAGGAAATTCTCCAAAAATAGTTTGAGAAACCAAATTCTAACAGTTTTGACATTAAGAAAATGATTGTGGAGATTTAAATTGGGATACATGTGGCAAATGTACCTTCAGTGAACTCTCAACTCCTGGAAGTGGTTCTTTTGGGCCTACTGGACTTTTGGGTTATGCAAATACAGGTAGACTTCTATAAAATCCCTTCTAAGAGGCCTGGTGGCCATGGTGCATACCTTTAATCCTAGCACTCGGGAGGCAGAGCCAGGTGGATCTCTGTGAGTTTGAGGCGAGCCTGGTCTACAGAGTGAGCTCCAGGATAGACGCCAAAACTACACAGACAAAGCCTGTCTTGAAAAACCAAAAAAGAAAAAAAATCCCTTCAAGATGTAACTTAAGGCACAGTAAGCTTGTATTCTGCATTTATGATTTCCTAAAGAAAAAAATACAGTTAATAAGAATGCATTAGTAATTTGTTTGAAAAAGCAAAGGAAAAGATTATACTCATACCTGGCAGTATCTCTGTAACTGAACCAAATTTTACTTTGATTTTCTAATACTGCAGGGAATTCTTGTCACTGCAAAACCTTCCATTCATCCATATCTCAATAAGGTGATCCAACTGCTGACTTAATTGTGGTCATCATAAAGAATGTAGACTTCAGAATCTTTACTTGGGTTCAAGTTGTCATTAACTGGCTCAAGGACTCTTAAATTCTTAGAGTTGGGGTCTCAAAATTAAGTAGAACATATGGGTCTAGATAAGGAAGGGACTAATATTGCCTTCTATTGCTCTTCGGAAATGTGTTAAAGTTTTAAGCTTACATACACAGAGTACGCCAGAGACATATAAATGAGGAAGAGACACTTTCCTTGTGCCAACCAGAGCCGGAACACTGAAGGGTGATCAATGTCGTCACTGCTGCATCTGCTGCCACACTGAACCCTGTCCTGGTGAACCAGCAAAGGCAGCAAAACACCTAAAAGAAGTGCCTTGAACTTCACGTTCCTCCCTCCTCAAAGTTCAGTCTCACCAAAGTCACTGCATATTTCCCGCCTGTCCCTCACCCCTGCCCTCTTCAGCACAGGTGCCTTTCTCTGGAACTGGGTATTAGGTGCAAAATCTCATCTATAGGAAACACTGGTTATTTTTAGATCATAGAAAGCTTTCTGAAAACCCTTGCCTACATCAGTCTTTTTATACAGAGGGTGGTTTTGGTGCACTGCAAAATAACTATTGAGATAGACAGGTACATACATACATGCATTACAGACATGCACACACACAGGTGTGTTAAATGATAGATTAATGAGTATGACAGCTAAACTAGATAAGCACATATTTATTCATAACTTAAAAAAGTGCGTTTGTTTTGAGTCTGTAATTTCTTGCTTGCAACAAATGCTCTTTTTATATGAAGCATAGGGAAATTCAATATATATGTTCACATAAACTCGATTAATTATGGATCAAAAATACTTAAAAGATTTTTTTCTTTTCTAGTGGCAAACTATTCCTGCCACTATTCCCAATATGGCATAGTGTAACAATTGTTCACAACACATTTAAATTGTATTAGAAATTACAAGAGGAGGTAATTTAGAGAATGAAGACACATATGCATATATTTTATGCAAATATATTATTTATACAATGGAGTTGAATAACTGCAAATTTTGCCTTACCCAGACAGTTTGCACCAATCCTCCAGATACAAAGTGACAAATGCATGTATGTATACCTACACACACAAATGTAAATCCATATGTACTACACTATATATGGATTATATAATATATATACAGTGAACTATATATATATATATATATATATATTTAATGAACTATACCCAATATATCCATAATATCCGTAAGCTGTAGGAAATGAAGCAGTTGAAAATTTCCAATCACTTGCTGCCGCACGTCACTTGCATTAGGGACAAATTTTGGCTTTGACTTTACTGTCTTTCCTAATGCATGCTCCAAAATGTCTCTCAGTGATAAATTTCATCATTTAGTGTCCATTTCCCTTTACTTTGTTTCTGTCCTCTCTGTCCTGTGAACAAATTCTCAACACTTCTGGCTTGTTTGTATGGACTTTCTCACAATCAAACAAAACTTACAATACAATTAATTAAGCGCCCACAAGTGCTAGATTTTGTGTCAGACATATTTCATGGATTGAGGGGTCCCTATATAGTAGTATTGTCCCGGTTATAACAAGAAAATCCAGGCTCAGAAAGTTGAAGGAAAGAGCCGGATCTTAGAGATGAGAATTGGTGGAGTTGAGATTTCGATGGAAGACCTCAGAGTTCACAGGATCAATTATTTGACTTAGGTCTTCTTCCTTATGCACATATATACATATACATCTATATATACATGTACTTTTCTAATTTGTGAGTTTGTCCTTCTTAGGCTGGGTTTCTTATTCCTGAATATCACTAGATGCCTTATTATCTTTTCTCCCATAAGTCATGAAAGTGCAAAGTCAATATAGTATAGAGATTATAATATTGTAAATTTGAGTAAGAACAGCCCAGTAAAGGGTATAACACAGTCTTGCAGTTATTCTTTGACTTTAGGCTAAATATTCACATTTGTAATACACGAGTTTAGTCAACTACCAACGTAAGTACTAATATCAAGTACATTCTAGCATTGCCATGAGGCTTACTAGAGAAACGTGGGGCTTGTACTGTATAAGTAAAACACCTATACCAAGCTGATCTTTGTTTATTTTGCCTCCAAAATGAAAAGTTAAAGGAAAAAAATATATCACTAGAGAACAGATTCTTTGGCCAAGTATCACTGTGGGGAAGGATGATGAGGATCATTTTAAATTGAATTATCTGCAATAATGCAACCTTTTCCTTCATATTCAAACTTCTTCCTGGCTCCAAATTTTGGGAAACTGAGATCCTGGAAAGAGGCATTTAGGAGCCAAGACTCAGTAATAGAGGAACAATTTAGTGGTGTTCCACTGGCACTGCTTAAAAAACAACAGCAACAACAAAACTTCATTGAGTTAGAGAGGGAAGGAGGCATCTCGGATTTGCTTTATTAAATACACTCTAGTCACACTTTCAGGAGGACTTTTAAATTTTTATTTATTTATGTCTAGAAGATGCCAGTGGTTGAAATATCTTATTACAAAAGTAGTTGTGATTTCATAATATTTATTCATGAGAAAATTTCAATTATAATTTAATTTCCTCTGACTTAGAGAATGCTATTTTAAATTCCCCAATCTACATGGAAGAATAGCACACTTCCTGTTTAAAACTTTTAAATTTATAACTTTTAGTCTCTGTTTCCTTAATAAGAAAAGGAATTGATTTTCATTATTTTTAGCATTGAGAAAATTAATGTCGTTGAGAAAAGTAACATGGTCCATGTTTGGTACATAACAGAGACAGGGGCAAGTAGAAGTTTGCTTATTTATTTATTTCTTCATGTTTTCATAGTATCTGATAATTAAAGCATTCATCTACAAACAACCTTAATAATTTTAAAACCAACATATAAGAATTATAGCAATAAATACAATCATTAACATAATTTGGTATGTGTAATGCAAATTTTATAGCAATGAAATCTGTTATTTCCTTATTATGTGTCTTTATAGACAAAGAAAAGTAAAACTTACTTCAACCAGGTACTAGATCTACATGCATCCATTTACTGTGTTCTTTGAAACTGTTGTTATTCTTTACAGTGGAACACTGAATTTTCAACAGCCATATAAACACACAGTCCTATATAAACACATAGCAGACACAAAAAAAATGAAAATAAATTCAAATATTGCTTATTATTTACATTACTAAATCTTTGGAAATAGCAACCATTCATGAAGTATTGTTGAGAGTTTAGTGGCCCTTGGGATGCCAGATTATTTATCCAGGTCTCTACGAATGTCAGGTTACTTATTATAGGGCTCTTCACAGCCCTCTTACAAAGAAACAGTCTGGATGTAGTAGGGCCGTGTAAGCCAGAGGTTCTCAACCCATGGGTTGTGACATTTCTTTCACAGTGGTCACCTAAGACCATCAGAAAACACAGCTATTTACATTACAATTTGTAACAGTAACAAAATTACAGTTATGAAGTAGCGATGAAAATAATTGTGTGGTTGGAGGTCACCACAACATGAGGAACTGTATTAAAGGGTCACAGCACTGGGAAGGTTGAGAACCACTTACATTGTACGTTTTTGCCATTGCTGCACAGTCATGGTGCAGAGGCATCCAACACTTACAGAGAAGTCACGTCAAAGGCCCAACATCAGCACAGTACACCAGTGCTTGTTATGACGAATACTTGTAAATGACATATCTGCTTCCATTTATATACAGACTTCGCTGATAACACTGATGCAGAAACCTTCCATTACAATTCCAATGTTCACCTCCTCATTTTGTCCGACACCCCAATTGTTCATAAAACAGCAGCAGTGTGAGCCCACTGACACAAGTGGAAAGAGCAGTAAGGGCTTCGGCGTGTGACTTCCATCCTCCGGGTACCAACAGAAAAAAAAAAAAAAATCTATCACGTGATGTAAAGAGTTCATAATTTTATCTAAGTCCCTCTCAGGTAGAAGCAGTCAAGTGTCACATCCCTTTAAAGTGTGTATTTGTTATCATAAAAAGAAAGAAGGAAAAAGATGAAGCCCAAGATGATTTGAAATGGTTTTTAGAAATCGACAGTATGCGTCCCCATGGAAAGACGTTCTGTGTGTATGATGCCTCTCGGCTGAGCCAGCATCTGTTTGCATGTTCCAGGTCTCCCTCCTTCTCTCACTGAACTGCACCTGGATGGAAACAAGATCACCAAAGTTGATGCATCCAGCCTGAAAGGACTGACTAATTTGGCTAAGTAAGAAAATGTATTACTTCCTATCAAAATGATGGGGGGGTGTTATTCATCTTTAGAAGTATGACGCTTTACCTATTTTTCAAACTATCACAAGTTAAAATATTTTCAAAGCAAAATTCCAGTTAATCTGTTGCACTCTTGACAAAAGTCAATGAACTATTACAATTACTATAGACAACAAGCTTGATAATATATTTTGTGGATATTTTGTTGTTTATAGATCTTTTGTAAAGGTATTCAATTAAAAAATGAAATGTCCATTTAGTATACTCTAATTTAGCGTTATCAAGGAGAAAGTTAAGAAAACTATAACAAGTTAATTCAAATTTTAGAATGTATTCAAATGGCATCTATATGAATATCGAAATATTACTTTCAGAATAACTTCAAAGAAATTCTCTAACCACTGTTCTCTGAAGGACTTGAAAGAAAATGTCATTACACATTTACTGCAGGCTCACAAAAGTATAAATTCTTTTTTTTTGTGGCCCTGCCTATCTGTATTTTTTTCTTTTTTACATCACCAGGTATCACTTTCTAACTTGGTTTCAAACCCCTCTGTATTTAAAACTTGGCTACATAAGAAGAAGCAAGCTGATTTAGGAGTCTTCAATGAATACTTTCTTGACATGAGTATTGCTGAATATTCCACAGGGCGTGTACCTGCTGTAACATTATGCCAAGTCAACATGGTAGATGAATGAATACCCAGAGCATATCTCTTTACCATTGAGAAATACTAGTGACCAAGTCAATAATAAGGTGCCTTTCCCTGTTTCTATGTATATGTTTCTATGTCTCCAAATGGTCCAGCAGATGGGGAAGAGAAAGAGTAAATACAGCATTATAAATATAGCTATTCATTTCCCTGGTATCTGAAGTAATAAGAAATACTCCATGTAGAAAAATTTAACCCTAGTTTCTGATATAGAAATCATGGTTCACAGTAATATTATATCATGTATCACCTATCTTTCTTTATTGATTACCTTCTTTATTGAATACTTTCTAGCTGCAGAAGAATGTAAGTAGATATTGCATTATTTATTACATTTACCATTAGGATCTTATTTTCATATTATGATGATGGTGATGATGATGATCAACATCAACATTATAAGTGGTAAATATTTTAAACCTCTAAGAATGGCAAATCATTCACAATATATGTGTTTCTTTAGAAAAGAAGTTTGTGTTATATAAAAACCAGTAAAGAGATTCTGGCATTCTAAACTTTGATATTGATGACATGTGTTTTCTTAAACAGAAGCTTAAAGTACTAATACATTATGAAAAGACTAATAAAAAATTCAGTTTTCTTGGTAAGTGGATGACGAATTCCATTTAATTTCTATTATTTATAGGGTCAAGTTTCCTAATTCTTGAATGTATCAAATCCATTTCCTTTGGAATCCAGAGAAAATTCTTCATTAAACCATCAAATCACTGTGTCCCCTATTATTATTATTCAGTGATGTTTGAACACACCAAATGAGTTGGTGTTGAAAATTAAAAAAAAAAAAAAGAAAAGAAAAAGAACATCTTTTCATGGCAGAGTTCCAGTTTATTATCAGGGCTGTGTTGAAATAAATTACCACACATCACTCTTCTGAAGTACAGAACATAAATAAATATACACACACATGTCCATATATAGTTATATACATATATATACATATACATATAGATGACATACATATACATGTGTGTCATCATGCGCTTTATTAGTAGAAATATTTTGCAATGTTCAATATCTTTTTTGAGGTTTTTCACTGTCCTTTTTAATTCATGGAGAAATTTAGATTCTCAAAACACCTGTTGATTAAATATATAAACAAGTACTTTAAAATAACATTAATCTTGAAAAAGTTATTTGGAATTATATAGTATAAAAATATTGTAGTGCAAAATTGATAATGGGGACTTGGAATGTCATGAGGTATAGGAGCCACAATTCTGAAGTGAAAATGAGAAGGCCATAAATAATAAATGGGCATCTAAGATGAGGAGAAAATCTAAATGTTCTCAGCCAAAATGCCAGTTTAATAATCAGTAGTTAAGATAGTCAGTGATGCTATTTGTGTACTAAAATCTGCACATTTTAACTATTACTTCAAAATAAAGCCAGGACCATACTTGGGAGGTTTTATTTATGTAAGGCCAGCATCTGAGTTACAGTGGGCTCAAGCCTTGGACCTACCTGAAGGCAAAGGAAATCATTCAGCAACCTCCAGACCATTGCTTTGCATGGGAAGACACTTGATAAACATTCTCCTCGTCCCCTGCAGCTGTTAGATGTCTTTCATTATTCTGTGGCCTCATCCTGGTATCTGCCCTATGGATTAACAGCTTTCTGCTTTGGGTGGTTTTGTCCCTAGAATGTTTAGTGAATTAGTCATGCCTCCAAGCCAACTTCTTCTGGCTTGGAATCCCATTAATATCATAGAATCTTCATTTGTTATGTCTTTAATTTAAGACATATGAACCAAAACCTCCACCAAATGAAACTTGTAAAGCATAGAGAAATGACTCAGATGTCTGAGTGGGAGGAAGTGAAACTCACACCAAGCTGATCCAGATTTTCACTAAAGGGTCACTAGAGAACTTGTTTTTTATCCAAGACAGCACACTAATTCTATTTATTGTTCTAGAAGGTAGGATTACCTTCTTACCTTTGTTCTTTACCAAATGAATTTGCATGTTTATTACATGTAGAAATCAATTCATGGTTATTTGTTGACTATGTCACATTCTACACTAATTCTATGTTAGGACTTGATTTACACTACAAGACAGTTTCTATTTCAAAGGAGAGGAATGGAATTAATCAAGTCATAACATTGCCTTTTATATTTTCCAAAATGATTTCAGAATGCTACAGAAGAATTTTTATTAGAGGTATCCATTCAGGAGTCTCAATAAAAGTCATTCTGAGCTGAGATGTTGAGAATAGGCTTTTAGGGTGATGGAGATGATTCTGTTGGTCAAGTCAATGTTGTTCATCATGATTACTTGAGTTGGGGTTCCCTATATAAAAACCTAGGCATCGTGGCATTTACCCTGGAAGAAAGAGACAAAGGGATCCCAGGAGCTTGCTGACTGGCTAGTTTTGACAAATTGGTGATCCCATGTTTAGTCAAAGACTATCTCAAAAACTAAGGTGGAAAATTATGGAGGAGGATAACCAGTGTCGATATCTGGCCTCTAAACCCATGCATACACATATATATGCTCATGCAACTTGGCACACACCTCATGCAACTACACGCACACCTGCACACGTACATGAACAAACATGCAGAGAGAGAGAGAGAGAGAGAGAGAGAGAGAGAGAGAGAGAGAGAGAGAGAGAATAGTTTTTGTCTAGGCTCAGAAAAGTGAGAAACAGCCAGTGCAAAAGCAAGAAATGCATGATCAACTGCTCAATTACCTACAGTCTATAAGAAAGGGATTCCTGACTGCTGTGCACACTATTTTTTTCTGTTCTCTTCTGCAGGTTGGGGCTGAGTTTCAACAGCATCTCTGCCGTAGACAATGGCACTCTGGCCAACACTCCTCATCTGAGGGAACTCCACTTGGACAACAACAAACTCATCAGAGTGCCTGGTGGGCTGGCGGAGCATAAGTACATCCAGGTAATGCAAAGCCATTCCTACTTATGAGGATCATCTGAAGAGGAATCTCCCACTGTGATTCTGGGAGGAAGGGAAGTCTCCCCGGGAATAGTTTTTAGTGTCATAGCTCTCTACCATAACAAAATCCCATGAGCTAGAGGGTTGAAAAAAATTCATGGCCTAAGATCAGAATGCTAGCATGGCTAGGTTCTGGTGAGGGCCTCACCCAGCTATTGAACTCCAGATGTCAGCTCTTAGTCTCACGAGACCGAAAGAGAGTGTCTTCTTGTAAGGACAGTAATCCCATTTGAGACTGGTCACTTTCTAAAGGCCCATCCCCTACCCCACATTATTGGGATGACAGTCTTAAAACACAAATTCAGGAGGATACAAATTCAAGCTACTGCATAGAAAAAAATAACTTTAAATATTGTCACATATACATTCTTATTGTATAGAAAACATGCCTAACTTATTAATTTTTAAAATAACTATACCTTGACTATATAAAACTCACTGCTAAAATTAATGTCCCTTATGAAGTAGGCTGGCTTGAAGTCATAGATTTGTGTAACAAATACCAGTTGTATGAGGCAATGATTACGTAAGTGACTTAGAATAAACTAATTTTAACTGTACGCTAAAGCAGATTCAACAGCTGATAAAAACAATGTATTGAGTTAAGTTTATACAAATTATCAAATTACATAGCTTGGTAAAGATAGAAATACAAGAGCCAGTAGTCCATTGGGTCTACTTTTGTGTCTATAAATCCAAAAGTGAATGACATGTATATTAAGTGATGGCAAAAATAATTCTATATAGTAAAAGACAGACTTATAGTGCTACCTTGAGAATCTAAAGCAAAAATGTTTATTCAAGCTACTAAAAAAATCAGTACTTTTTAATTTGTCTTATGTCCATCACTATTTTTCTATTTTTTTCAGTGGTTTTTTTTTTTTTTTGGAGGGAGTGTTGTTCTCCCTCCCTCCCTCTCTTCCTTTCTTTTTTTCTTTTGATTGTTTGCTTGAGACAGGATCTTCCTATGTAGCCCTGGCTGTCTTGGATCTCACTCTGTAGACCAGGCTGGCCTCAAACTCACAGAGATCCGCCTGCCTCTGCCTCCTGAGTGCTGGGATTAAAGGCATGTGCCACTGCCACCCAGCTCATTTTTTTTTAACCTTTTTGCATTTAAATAGGTGTTAAGTTCAGCCACTGTGTCTCAGAAACAATATTTTGACCCCCCCCCCCTTTTTTTAGGTAAAATAACATAATATCTAAATGTTGCAGAAATGTCAACACGGGTCTCATCTCCCTTTTGTTGTTGTTCAGTTGAAGCAAACTAAAGTCCACCTGACAGCAAATCTGACATTTACTGGGTTTAGTAAGTGTTTGACATAAATGTGAGCAAGAAGCTTGACATGTTTTCTTGAGTATTTATTGTTTTCAGCAGGGTGGGAGTGGATTGATTTTTTTAATAATAGACTTAGCCTTGACAATACTAGCTACACTTTTTATTGGCAAAATTTTCCTTGTGCTTAGTTTTATTTTTTTGGTTCCACATTCACCTTCCTTATTCCTGTTTTTCTCATCAAATTAGCACACACAATAGAGATCATGGAATTGCTTTACTAGGATCATTAAGGGACGAAACTCAATAGGAAACAGTTGTCCAGTTGATGCCACTTCCTGTAATGTTGCTTCATATATCTCCACTCTGAGCTTCCAGATGTTGTATACCTTTTTTTTTTGTGAGTCACAGACAAAGATAAGTAAGCCCGATGCTTTGAAGTCTGTTGAATTTAAGGAAATAATTCCATAGTAACACATATGTGGAAAGTAGTGTTCTCTGGTTTTTCTCCCTAATTTTTAGTACCTGGATCCTGTTTACTTTGCTCCTTCAAGATCCTAAGGATTTCACATATATTATTACTTTTTCAATTATTTTGCAAAATTTATAAATATTTATTAATTTTAATATGTTATTAATTCTTTGACAATTTTATGCACTGATGCAAGGTATTGCGCATATATGTATTTTATTTGTGTGATAACTCTCCTCCCTCTAACTCCCCTATGTCCATATCCCACCCCTCAACCTCTCAAGCATCATGTCCTCTCTCTTTCTTTCTTTCTTTCTTTCTTTCTTTCTTTCTTTCTTTCTTTCTTTCTTTCCTTCCTTCTCTCTCTCTCTCTCTCTCTCTCTCTCTCTCTCTCTCTCTCTCTCTCTCTCTCTCTCTCTCTTCTGTATAAAGCACAGTCTAAGCTTGGACTTAAATTCTAAAATAAATTCATGGACCATCCACTGGAACATTGTTAATTTAGTAGGAACCATTCAGTGGAAGATGGTCACATACTCTTATAGAAAACCAAGATATAGAAAGTTGGGGAGGGATGTAGCTGGAGAGCTTCTCTCCAGGTCCCACCAAGCCCCCGCAGTCCCACAACCCACATATAAAATAATCACTCAGACGCTTACATTACTTAGAAACTGTTGTTTGTCCCACCTATACTTTCTGCCTGGCTACTGGCCTATCAGTGTTTTATTTATACAGAGTGATATCCACAGCAGAGGGACAAGAATATGACCAAGTTATATTGTCTGAAACTGTATAAAGTAAATTTTAAAAAAAGAAAAATTGAATCTTCCTGCCCAGCAGCCATCAATGGTCAATAGCTAGGTGGGAGCTTATGCGCCTCTCCCCTCCCCATGTAAAAGACTTCACTGGCTTAATCCTGTGCAGGAAACCACAACTGTTGTGATCTCATAAGTACAAAAGCCCTGTTATGTTCAGAAGACACCATTTCACCCCTTTCTGCCCAGACCTCTGGTTCTTTCCACACCCTCCTCTGCAATGTTTCTTCAGCCTTGGGAGTGGGTGGGGTGTGATATCAGTATTGTATTTATGTCTGAAACTGCCTAGAGCTTTATACTCTGCACTGTGACCAGTTGCGATTTTCTGCATTAATTGCCATCTACTGCACAAAGAGGTTTCTCTGGTTCAAACTGAGACAACATCGACCTATACAGTCCTCCCATTACTACAGCACTGTTTTAGAGAGCGTGTTTTCTCCCCAGATTTCCCTCTCAATAATTTTAGTTTACATCTACTATGTTATTGATACAGAATTGGCAATGGAATGTGGAATAAAAGTGATGTAACCTTCTTGTCTTAACAGGGGGTAGGGTGTTCACATTTACCACTAAGGAAGACATCACTTGGAACTGTTTTGCAAATGCTCTTTATCAAGTGACACAGCACCCTTCTATTCCTAGCTTAGCCGGAATTTTGAACACTTTCTTCTTTGCAAGAATTGTCTGTGCTTGTCGAGATGATGTTTTGTATTTCATTGTTAATACAGTGTATTAAATTAATTCATCCAAGTTGTTAAAACAGTTTTATATCCTTGAGATAAATCATTCTTGGAAATAGTATTCAGTCCTTCTGTACATAGTGAAATACAGCTTCTTAATATTTCATTCAATATTTAAAAAACTTTTGTTTATTTGTCTACAATTTTCTTTTATAATTTTGTCTGGCCTTTGAATTAGAAAACACCAACCTGATAGGATGTGGAATCTGCTTCTTCTTGTTCATGGTCTATTGCTTGTCATATTCCTTGACATATTCTTCTCTCATTTTTGGCATGAGCTATCAATTCTTACTAAGTGTTATTTGCTTTTCTTGACAAGTTCTGCTAGAATAGAGGATAGTAATAAAAATATAACATTTTCAAAATGTAAGAATTCTAAAAGTATTATCAAAATGATTGCTTTGGTTTTAACAATACTCTTTCCTGATTTTAAATGTTACATACCATTGTCCCTTTAAGTAAATACACGAATAAGGGCTTTTTAAATACTGCACAGATATGGATTTCCCTGCAGGTAACAGATTACAAATCCTCACTTGAAAATCATATTTCTAGCGTCTTTACTTCAAATTTATTTTGAATTATCTCACTTTATAGCCTAGCCTGCCCTCCAACTCGTGAGCCTCTTAACCCACCACCTAAGCATTATGATTGTCGGGGTGTTTCATCATGTCTGGTTGGTGTCTCTTTAGTTTTTAAATAAATCTGGTATCTAGTGACACTAAGAAAATGTATGAACAAATTACCATTGTATTAAGCATGGCAACAAAATGTATTTTATAAAATGTTCTCATGAATTTAAAATTCAATATTTTTAGAGTAGGGTTTGTAAATTAAATATCAGCAGAGTATGATGTTGGTACTTTCTTGTAACCCCAGAATTAGAGACGCTGAGGCAGGAGAATTGAAAACTTGAGGACAATTGTCTCAAAAACAAAAAAATCAAAAGGAAAACCTTTTTAAGCCTACCTTTGTAAATGCATACTTAAGTATACTTTGGAGTTTGTGTTTCTTTATTTAAATTCTAACGTGTAAATTTTCCTTTATTGTTCAGTTTATTACACATTACTTCTTCCCATAAATCTTTATTAAGTGGTTTAGTTTTATATTTTTGCTCTACAGGTTTGATAGTCAATGTAGACTGTGTATGATAAATACATATCCAATATATGAAATAACCCCCATTCAGTCACTGTGTTTCTTAACTATCTCCTTTCTACAGCAGGCACTGGAGATGTAGCCATGAGCAAAGGGAACAGCTTCTTCCCTCATTAAACTTTTGCTCTAGAAAGGAAAAACAGAGAAAGCCCATTACATTGCATAGTGATAACTGCTATGAATAAAGATAGACGTAGCTCTGAATTAAGAATGGCAGATAGGGATAATGAGAGAAGGCATGTCTGATAGGAGAAAAACGAGGCAGTCAACCTGCAGATGCCTTAGGGCAGTTACTGCAGGGGAGGAAGCCTGTGTGCGACACTGGACTGGGCTTGGACAGTGACAGGATAAGATACAGGCTTGGAGCAGAATGGTGTCAGACTGTAGGATGGGAAGGTCCTGATGAGAACTTGCTTCCTCCCCCACTCTCCCCAGGAAAAGACAAGGTGTAATTTTCACCTTCTCCTGTTTTTGCGACATGGATCGTCTTTGAAATTTACCTTTGGACTGCCCTTTTTTGTTGGTGGTGTTGGTTGGTGGTGGTTAGTTTTAAAGTTCCTCTGGGATGTAAGATTTTTAAAAAGTGGACTTCTGAAATACAAAGGAGAAAGTAGGTGGAACAACCAGCGGTTTCAACAGTTGAGGAGGGCCTGGAAACTTAGGCTGGACTGTCCGAGCAGACATGAGGAGGACCACTCGATGATGCACTTTGAAGATGAGAGAGCAGAGCTGGATGATGGGGTAGAGAGTCCATCTGGAAGCCGAGTGCAATTGTAATGTTTCCAGCCTGAGCATCTAGAAGGATTGGGGTGAAATTTACAGAGACAGAGGAAGGAAAAACAGCTTTTGAGAGGAAGGCAGGAAACAGAATTTGGTTTGAGGAGTCACAATGTATTCATATCAAAAGGTCCAAATTAAAAGCAGTATTTATGTGAAGAACCTCAATACACATACGGAGAGAATAATCCTTCTGCACTATTTCACGTTACAGGTTGTCTACCTTCACAACAACAACATCTCCACAGTCGGGTCAAACGACTTCTGCCCACCCGGCTACAACACTAAGAAGGCTTCGTACTCCGGAGTGAGTCTTTTCAGCAACCCTGTCCAGTACTGGGAGATCCAGCCATCCACCTTCCGATGTGTCTATGTCCGTTCTGCCATTCAACTCGGAAACTACAAGTAACTCCCAACCAGCCTCATTTTTATAATCTGGCAAAGAAAAAAAAGAAAAACCAGAAAACAGTCTGTCAATATCATTACTAAAAGGAAAAAAAGAAAAGAAAGCTAAATGCTGGAAACTCAAGCATATTGTGGATGCCTTTTCCACACAATCTATTATGCATCAAGCCAAATATGCAGATTAAATAATTGCCTACAATAAAAGTATTTTGCCTGCAATATTCAGAATCATTTTTAAAAGTTTCTGTAGATGTGAAAGGAGCTATCAAAACCTTATGTAACTACACAGGTCAACCATTTAGTAATGCTTTTAAAAGAACCAAATATGAAGTCTTTTGTAATTCATAGAGCTAAATTAACTCTTTTGACATAAAGGCAAATGCCAAACTCTATCAATGTATTAATCTACTTTATTGTTGGTAAAGCCTCATTTGAATACGTAAATTCAATACAGGCTGTGTAAAATTTCACTGTCATTATATTGGAAAAATAAAATTTAAAAAATGCATTCAAAATGGGTGTTTTATAAATCTTTAAGTCTAAACATTCCTGAAATTTCTGGGCAGTTGACAATAATAGCATATATTTGCAAATTCTTAGCCTTTCCTCTACTCTTTATATTTACATGTGAGAGTGGAAATGAGTATTTTCTACATTTAGTGTTAAGCTTATAAATCAGGAAGCAGATTTGGTTTCATTAGCATACAGAACTCATATTTCCCACACTCATTTATGAAATCAGTTTCAAAAGAACTATATGCACCATCGGGCTGCTTGTCTAGACATTTGTGCATTTACTCATGTACTGGAAATAGATACTGCCGTCAGTTAGCTGGTAACCTTAGGAAAGTATTTTTGAGTTGAGTTTTGAGATGGCTATTGAATCAGGCAGTTAAGCATGTCTCAGGAGTGGGCTGCTGGGCTTAGAGAATTTATGACTTGGAATGTTTGGGCCATCAAAACCTAGTGGAAAAGTATGCAAGAACAGTCTGGTCCTGCTGCAAAGCTAGACTTCTTATGGTCAGCAATTGTAAGACAGCAAATTAAACCCGGCTTTAACCACACAGGGTGTGTGCCCATTATTCGGCATGAGCCTTCCGGTTCTCTTCAGTTGGAGCTCCCACCGGCTTCCCCTCCTTCTCTTTCAGCTCTGTTCCCTTTCCTTTCCCAGGCTGGCTTCCCTTATGACTGTAAAGGATGGGCTCCAACTGCTATTTTCCCTCCTCTGAACAGACAAGCATATCATCTCAGAATGTCTAGAATTCGTTGCAAGTTCCTTGCTAATTCTTACATGTCAGTTCCGAATCTCTGTAGAGTGGATATTAATACCAGTTTTTGGAGACAAAAACTGAGGTTGAAACTTAAAAGCTTCCCCATCAAAAACTATGATTTTTGCTCCTTTTGGCTTTTTCAGCCATCCTGAGTGTTATTTTCCCTCTCCCCTCCCTCTCCTGCATTGCTATCTCTCCCTGATAACACTCCTCCTCCAATCTTTTCCATTCCCCCCTTCAAATCACTTGTGTCCTGTTAGTCCCCTTCCAAGTACTCCTCCCCATGCCCTGCCATGGTCCCCTTTTTACTTCCTTGGATTTTGTGGTAATTCTAAGTTCTGCACTCACATCTGAAGATTTGGAGCTGGGAGCCACAGATGAGAGAGAACATGAGATACATGTCTTTCTGGATGTGGGTCACTTCACTCGATATGATCTCCTCCAGTTCCATCCATTCATCTGCAAAGTTCATGATCTAATTGTTCTTTTCAGATGAATGGTGTTCCTTATGTACCACATTTTTACCCATTCACCACCAGAAGGACTGTTGTTTAGGTTGTTTCCATTTCTCAGCGATTGTGAATAGGACATCAGCAAACATGATTGGTCAATGTTCCACTGCATCTGTAGAGTAGAATGTCGAGTCATGTGAGAAGGTATCAAAAAGTGGTATAGCTAGGTCGTGCGGTGGAATGAATTTTAGTATTTTGAGAATTTTGAGAGTGGCAGCACCAGTTTGCATTCCCATGCACAGTGAATGAGGGCTCCCTTTTTTACATCTTCTGTAGCATTTTTTCTCAGTTGTTTTGTTAATCTTAGCCATTCTGACTGGGGAAAGAATAACTTTCAAAGTTGTTTTGATTTTTGTTTCCTTAGTTGCTAAAGGTAACTTTTAAAAATAGCTCTTAGCCATTTTACTTCTTTTTCTTTTTTCCTCTTTTCTTTCCCTTTTCCTTCCTTCCTTCCTTCCTTCCTTCCTTCCTTCCTTCCTTCCTTCCTTCCTTCCTTCCTTCTTTCCTTCCTTCCTTCCTTCCTCCCTTTCTTTCTCCTTTTCTTCCTTTCTTTCTTTTTTTGGAGGTGGTGGTGGTGGTGGTGGTGTGTGTGTATATGGTCTTGTTGTGGTTGTAGTGCTTTACATATACTTTGGAAACACTATACAACTGAGCTACATCTCAAGCCTAGAGGATGCTTATGAGGTCAGTATAGTTGCAAACTTGTCAACTGCCTCAGCTTTACATATGTTGAGGTTACAGGTGTATGCCAACTTTGAATTTGGATTCCAAGTTCCAAGCAAAAAGAATCCAAAGAAGCAGATGGTTGTACGGTCTACATGACCCAGGGAGCAGGCCAGTGATCAGCCTCATGATTCCCTGTCCATTCATTAAAGATCACCAAGGCATACACTATGAAGAGAACAGAGTTCATTTCCCCAGTAAGAATAGAGACATCATCAGTATAAAAATATCCCTCCTCCATATCTTTCCATTCAAACTTCACATGCTATTCCCATTGATTTCTTCATTTATGAGAAAATATGCAAGGACGGGCCATAGAAGATGAAATGCAAGAGTGCAGATGTGATTATGACATCTAGATATGTTATTTCTTATTCTGAGAGGTCTCTGTTCAAATCCATAGCCTATTTTTTGATGTATCATTTAGTTTTCTATTATTTTCTTTTACATCTTTATATATTCTGAACATTAATTCACTGTCAGAGGCAGAGCTAGCAAAGTTTTTCCACTCCCTATGTGGACTTCCTCTTCACTCGATTGCTTCTGTATCTGTGCAGAAGCATTTAATTTTTATGAGGTTCCATTTGTTAATGGTTTGCCTTAATTCCCAGGCAAATGAAGTTCCATTCAGAAACTCTTTTCCTACATCTCTATCTCATCAGAGTTAGTTGGTTGTATTTCGGGTCTTACATTAATGTCTTTAATCCATTTAGAGTGAGATTTTGTACAATACATATAAATAAAAGTGTATGCAGATATATTTAACTGAAGTTAGGCCTCTTGGACTGACAATGCTCTCCTCAAGATCCATAAACTATCTCATAAAACCCTGGTACCAGGCCTGAGAAACTCTTTAAAGTTGTTGTTTAGGATAATCCACAAAACTTCCAAAACAATGCCTTGCCTTAGTTTCCTTCTGGAAGTTAAAAGTATATCCTTATTGTTGAAGAATCCATGTATTCAGGCACAGGACCTGGAGGCTCAGAGCCATATCTGACCTGAAAGCTTCCTGGCTGAGTATTAACTTTCATAGTCCCAGAAGATGCTCTGGAAGCTATCAAGAGAAGGAAGCAAAAGTTCTACCCAGCTGTGAACCCACAGACCTCAATGACCAGGATTCCAAGATGTCCCTGAATGTGCAATGCTGGCATTCCTTCTTAGTGGTAACCAGCATCTGTCTGACTGAAGTTAAGAAACACATAATATGAGGGAAGTTGTGCTGAATACTGGGAACTAGTCAAAGACATGGGACTTGTGAGGTCATGAACTTAGAGGAGAATCTACTTTCATCACTTTACTAAACCAGCATAATTCCTAACTTTATTCTCAACATTTATACCCACAGACAAGTATAGTTCCCAGTGGAAAAAGCATTTCTTTGCAACAGAAAAAAAAAGTCCAATACAGAAAACCAGGACTGGTCACCATTCAGAGATTGATGGGGGGGAGCCAAGTACCAGTGAATATATTTGCAATACAATTCCTGTTCTTAACGCTGCTCAGAAAACATTACAGAAGAGGGGTCAGAAAGAATGTTGAAGCCAGAGGCCTGGGGAATCTTCTGTGAGACTGTGTCTACTAGAAATAAAAGGGAAACATCACCACCAAGGATACTCCAATCTAAATAAAACTTGAACAATGACAACACCAATAGACACGATAACACAGAAAAGGGGAAAAATCTCATGGACTCCATCTATAAACAAAAAAAAAAACTATAGTTGACTAAGGGATGTTGAGAGTGAGAAAAGTCAGCTTCCTCCATCTATGAGCCCATTGATTCTCCAATACCACGTAGTCAGCCTTGAAATCATGTACATGTGAGCAACAGTGAGTGGACTAAGAAGATGGTATTTATATTTTTATGGGTGTGTGTGTATGTGTGTGTATGAGCGTTAACAAGAACAACTAAAGAAGAAGATACAGGATATTTGAGAGGGGGTAGGAATAGAAGGAGCTGGAATAAGAAAGGGGAATGGCGGAAAATGATGTAATTATGTCTTAATTCTTGAAAAGTATGATAAACTTCCTCAGAGTCAAGTACCAAGAAAGTCTGGTAGCAGTACCTTCTTTAGTTTTATATTCAAAGGTTCCCAGAAAAGAAATTATTCTAGAAGGCTGAAAGGAAGATGTATTAATGAAGGGACTATTGTTAAGTGTGCTCAGCTTAGTTTCTTGAATCTAAACACAACCAAAAATTAGATGATGGGGTGTCTTAGTCTGGGCCATGGTACAAATAGCTACATGGACAGGAGAGGCAGCTGAGCCTCTGTAGCCAAAGAAGACAATAGTAGGGAACGAACCCAGGTGAGCTACGATCCTGGGAGGGTTCTACTTCTACCACAGTGTAAACCTGATGCATACTACTTACTTCTGCTCACTTTAGAGCCCCTGCTGGTGGTGGCAAAAATCAAACCCAGTGGGAGTGATGGGAACATCAAGAAAAGGGCGGGACTGTGACTGGGGAATGAATAGATCAGTACAACCGAAGAATACCTCGTAAATATCCAGTTGCTGAGTGAGTTCTCCACCACATAAGCACTAGTTCACAGCATTTGTTGTGCACTTTGACTGAACCCTAGTCATAGGCTCTGCATTGATCAGGGGTGCAATGAAAAGAATGTTACAAAAGTTCCAGGAAGAGAGCTCATTCAGTAGAGTGCTTGCCACATAGGCATGAGGACCTATGTTTAGGCTCCAAAACCCATATTAACAAACAGGGCATGGTGGCACCTGCTTGCACTTCCAGCACAAGGGAGACGGAGACAGACAGACCTCCAGAGCTTGCTGGTTAAACAGTCTAGTCTAGTCTGCAAACATTGGCCATGGGAGAGGCTGTTTCTCAAAAACAGCAAGGAGGATGACATCCTTATGAATGACAGATGAAGTTCACTTCTGGTCTCTTCATTCATGTGTACATCTGTGCATGTGCTCTGGCTCATATGTGTGCACACAAACAAGTAGGTTCAAATATATGTATAACATACAAAAAATATCTGATA